TTTGATGGGGGACAGTGTAGAGGGAGCTTTACTCTGTATCTAACCCCGTGCTGTTGCTGTCCCTGTCCCTGGGAGTGTTTGATAGGGGGACAGTGTAGAGGGAGCTTTACTCTGTATCTAACCCCGTGCTGTCCCTGTCCTGGGGGTATTTGATGGGGGACAGTGTAGAGAGCTTTACTCTGTATCTAACCCCGTGCTGTCCCTGCCCTGGGAGTATTTGATGGGGGACAGTGCAGAGGGAGCTTTGCTCTGTATCTAATCCCATGCTCTCCCTGCCCTGGGAGCTTTATTCTCTGTTTAACACAGATGAATTGATTGGATTTTTTGAATCAGTCTTCACTAGAATGGATATAAGTAGCATCCTGGAAATTGTAAATCAGGACTTGAAAGAGCAAGAGAAACTCAAAGTTACAATGACCAAAGAAGTAATGCTGTGTACATATTGGAGCTGTGAGTCGACATGTGCCCAGGTCCTGATGAGTTTCATCCCAGGGTCTTAAAAGGAATAGCCAGTGAAATAATGGATATGCTGGTTTTAAATTTCCAAAACACACATAGGGAACATTCCTTTAGGCTGGTAAATATCTAATCCACAAAAGGATGTGAATGCTTTGCAAGCAGTTCAGAGAAGGTTTATAAGACTAATACCTGAAATAAGCAAATTCCTTTAAGAGGAAAAGCTAGATAGGCTTGGTTTGTAACCTCTGGAGAGCAGAAACGTCTGAGTGACTTCACTGAAACATACAAGATCCTGAGGGGATGTGACAGGGTGGATGTGGTGAGAAAGTTTTCTCTAGTGGGAGAATCTGTAATCAATTTAAAAATCAGGGAGCATCCATCTAAACCAAAGATGAGGAAGCATTAATCTCTGAGGGTTGCGAGTCTTTGGAATATGAACCTGGAGTGTTTTGTTTCAAAGGGCATTGGTGAAGACATACCTGATGTACTGTGCACAGTTTTAATTTTCTTACTTATAAAAGGATAAGAGGCTTGTCTTTAAAAGATTAGGCCATATCTATTGGAGATTAAAAGACTGACACATGACCTTAGTGAAATATGTAAGATCCTGAAAGGATTTGACAGGGTAGACACTAGAGAATGTTTGCACTTAAGGTTGAATCTAGAACGAGGGGAAGCAGTTTAAAAGTCAGTGGTCTCCCGTTGTGGACAGAGATGCCGCAAATGTTTTGTTGTTACCCTGTGGAAGAATACTAGAGGATGTGTCATTATGTTTAAGAATGGGCTAGACAGATTTTCGAGTGACAAGGAATTCAAGGGTAATGATTCTTAATGGCTGACAATTACTTGCTTGTGGTTAAGAGAAGCTGGTGGTGGTTGTTAATTATCAAAGCATATCTAAATTAGAATAAATATCTGTTATGAGGGTTCTAATGTACTCTGCTGGTGTCCCTGCTCATGCGTCACATTGTCCAGTTCAAATCCTACCTGCCCTCCAGGTGTCTGACAATGTGTCTTTGCAGGTTAATTACAAAGGTCATGGGAAATCTCCGATACTGGGTGTGGGCTGAGAGACTGAGAAGGTCAACAAACACTCTTCACAAAGAAGTGTTAGGTGTCTAGGTTTCTCTCTAACTAGCTTAGATGCTTAACAGTGGCGGGCAGGCAGGAAAGTGGAGTTGATGTCACAGTAACGTTATGAAATGACAGCTGACATTTGATGGGCCTAGTGTTTGACAGGAATTTGTTGACTGTGCCTGTTTTTTCCCACAGCCGGACCTGCCTACCCACCACCTCAATATGGTGGTCGTGGAGCCTATGATGCATATCGAGGGCAGGGAGGCTACCCAGGGAAGCCCAGGAACAGGTTTGTTTTGGTGTTTGGCGAGAACCATTTGTCACCAATGAAACTTAAATCCTTAGTCCTCTCTGACCTGCACTGACCAGATTTTCTTTTATCATGTCCCTCCAAAACCTCATCCCTTCCTTTCTGTACGGCCACATCAGGTCCCAGAACTCTCCAAGATCTCTGTTCTCCTCTGTTTTTGACCCCTTGTACATTCCACCCTTTCTTAAAAGTTCTGCACCTCTCTCCTAAAAGTCTACCTCACGGACCAAGTCTTTAGTTAGCTGTCCTGAATCTGCTCGTGGCTTTGTCAGTGTTTGTTTGATTTGTCTACTTGCATGGCAGCATAGCACAGGGAGGTGTGGTGAATAGATGTACCTTGTCAACGTTAATCGGCCTACAACCTACTTCCTGTTCCATTTTTCCCAAGTCTCCATTTTTTCAAAAAGTACATTTTTTTCCTTCATTCCAATTTGTTGCAAGAATCATTTCTCCCTGAAATCTTGGAAGCGAATCTTAGGGCATCTGCAGGAACGGTATTCCATAAGTGGAATTGTCTCTCTCTATCGCTAACCCCTATTCCACACGTTGGTGAAATAGCAGAAAGCCTTACTCACTGAACTACCAATCTTGCATCAAGTTAGTTTTTATTCATTCGTGGGATGCCAGTGTCTCTGGCTGGGCCAGCTTACGTTACCCATCCCAAGCCACCCCTTGAGAAGGTGGGGGTGAGCTGCCTTCTTGAACCACTGCAGTCCACCTGCAGTAGGTAGACCCACAATGCCCCTTAGGAAGGGAACGCCAGGATTTTTACCCAATGACAGTGAAGGAATGGCGATATATTTCCAAGTCAGGATGGTGAGTGGCTCGGAGGGGAACTTCCCATGTACCTGCTGCCCCTTGTCCTTCTGGATGGAAGTGGTGTGGGTTTGGAAGGTGCTGTTTAAGGATCTTTGGTGAGTTTCTGCAGCGCATCTTGTAGATGGTACACACTGCTGCTACTGAGCATCAGTGGGGGGAGGGAGTGGGATGTTTGTGGATGTGGTGCCAATCGAGCGGGGGCTGCTTTATCCTGGATGGTGTCGAGCTTCTTGAGCGTTGTTGGAGCTGCCCCCATCCAGGGCAAGTGGGGAGTATTCCTCCTGACCTGTGCCTTGTAGATGGTGGGACAGCCTTTGCGGAGACAGGAGGTGAGTTACTTGCTGCAGGATTCCCAATCTCTGGCCTGCTCTTGTATTAATATGCCGAGTCAAACTGAGTTTCTGGTCAGTGTTGATAGTGGGGGATTCAATGATGTAATGCCATTAGATATCAAGGCCACTCATTACCCTGGAGTACTTGGCCAGTTGGATCGGTGCCTAGGATGGGCTACATACTTAATAAGTATAAAAATTGATGACCAGACTTGAGCTACAGTGAGACCATATTTGGCTTTGCTGAGTTTTGTTGATTTCATTCAGTATGTTGCATGTTGCTATCAGATTTACAGTGTGTACAGGATGTCCTGTTTCGGCAAGTTCATGGTTTCCAGATAACACAAGTCTTCCTCCCACCTTGCATTCAGTCACTCTAATCTTGTTATTGAATAGGTCTGAATGGCTGACATCTTTTTTCACTCGACCACTTGGCTAGTGATGCCTTGCTCTGTCAGCAAGACATGCCTCTCAGAGATTGCAGCCTGAACAGGAGTGTTTGGCCTGAGCTGTGTGGTCGAGTTCTTTGTACTGTATGGGTTCACAGCTTAGCGAGAAGCCAATCAGCCCTTTCTCCCAGTCTGTGTGTTTCCAATGCAAGGACAGAATGATAAAATATCCCCAGGGGTGCGTAACTCCGAACTGTTGTCAGGAAGCAGCTTTGTTTGGTTTGGTTGTTCACTGCTGTTTGTTGTCAATTTGGTCCTGGCTTGTGAGCATGTGCCTACACCATATTGCTCTCTACTGTAGGAGAGCCACTTGGAGTTTGTTTTTATTTCCGTGTTTATACTAAATCTGCTGAAATTTGTCCCTCAAATCCAGGCTCCAAGGAAGACCCAAAGTGTAGGGGTGGTGCTACATCAATGCCAGTGTGTGGGTATCCACCAGTACCCAGTGCTTACCCTTGGCTTATTGTGGGCAGCCTCTGAAAGATGTTTTACTGCATTTCAGCTTCACCTTAGACCTCTGTCCTGACACGTACACAGACCTTTTCACCTATCACCCCCATGTTGCTGATCAACGTTCAGTCCGGCAGAACTTCAATTTGAAAGTTATCCTTGTTTGCAAATCCCTCCATGGCCACACTACTCCCCATTTCCGTACCTTCCAGCCCCTACGCCCCCTCCCTAACTCTGTCACCCCCTCCAGCCCCCACACCCCAAAACTATCTCTGTCACCCCCTCCAGTCCTTACACCCCCTCCCTATCTCTGTCACCCCCTCCAGGCCCTGCACCCCTCCCTATCACTGTAACCCCCTCCAATTCCAGCCTCTTGACCATCCCCCGATTCCCACCATTAGGGGCCGTGCCTTCAGCTGCCGGGGCCCCAAGCTCTGGAACTCTTCCCCCCGCCCCCACGACCCTGTCTCTCCTCCTTTAAGATTCTTCTTAAACCTGATCGCTTTGACCAAGCTGCTGGCCACCTGTGGTTAATGTTTCCTTGTGTGGTTTGATATCAGGTAATGTTTGCATGCAGCAAAGCCCTTTGTCCCATTAATTGTGTTAACAGTGCTATATGAATGCAAGCTGTTGTAGTAGCTGTCTTGTATGACACTCCCTGGAGGTGAGGTGGGAGTTTTCCCACTCCCTGATCCGTAAAGCACATGTAGAATTGTGACGGGGTTAAGTTTAGTGGGAATAACAGAACAAGCCAATACAAAACAAAAGATGTAGAAGCTGAGGGATCCAGGTACACTTACAAATAAATGAGTGGTGCAGAGGTTGGGGAGAGTGATTACTAAATCTTGAGCTTGAAACACCAACCATTGAAAGGGCTCCCCACCCCCACCCCTGTAACTGTGCATTTCACACGACTAACCCACCCAGCCTGCTCATCCCTGGATACTAAGGGGACAATTTACCATGGCCAATCCACCCTAACCTGCACATCTTTGGACTGTGGGAGGAAACCAGAGCACCCGGAGGAAACCCACACAGAGATGCGGAGAATGTGCAAACTCCACAGAGACAGTCGCCTGAGGGTGGGATCGAACCCGGGTCCCTGGGGCTGTGAGGAAGTGATGCTAACCACCGAGCCACTGTGCCAAGTCATGAAGGACAAAAGCAGGGACCTTATTGTGAATGTGTACAAGACACTATTAGACCTCAGCTGGAGTATTGTGCCCCCCCCACCCCCAAATTTCTGCGTCCTGCACCTTAGGGAGGATGTGATGGCATTGGGAAGAGTGCAGAGCAGATTCACAGTTCCTGGGATGAGGGACTGTAGTTATGTGGGCAGTTTGGAGTAGCTGGGACTGTTCTCCCGGGAGACGAGAAGGTCGAGAGGAGATTTGATCAAGGTGTTCAATGTCATGGCCAGATTCGATGGAGAGACACACTTCCCGTTACGGGGCAGGTGGGGGGTTTGGGGGAAAGGATTGAGAACCGGGAGGCACTGATTGAAGGGGATTGGTAAAAGAAACAGCAGTGAGGCAAGGAGAAACTGTTTCTCACGCAGCGAGTAGTCAGGATCTGGAACATGCTCTCCGATAGTGTGGATGAGGCAGGGTCAGACGGGAATTGGACCATTACCTGAGAAGTGAGAATGAGCAGGCCTGAGAGAAGTTCAAACGCGCTGTACTTTTCAAATCTGTACTCCAGGTCCTTTACCCAAACATTGACCATCGCATTGACTTTTTAACATTGCGCAAACTTCGCTTCGAAGGAGCAGGTCCTTGTTTTCTAAAACCAGCAAGAGGTTCTTTTTCTGTACTGCAGGCCGAGTGAAAAAGCCGGGGATTATTATCTTTGAAGAAACATAATGAGGTCGTATAGTCGACCTGTAACAGCTCAGTACCTGGTGAGGAATCCTGTGTTTGTGTAGTGTTTGCAGAGAGCAGGGTACCCTGCTGTCTCTGTGCACTGTCCCAACTCTGTAAGGCAGCTTACACTGGGGAAACAACACATCAAGGAGTTTATCGACAAAGCCTGAGTGCCACAGATCGAGCAAGAGAAAACAGGACCTCATTTGGGGTAGGGTTGGCATTGGCTGTAGAGATATCCTCGATGGAAGGTTTGAAATTGCTTTTCGTGCTTAGTGTTGTTCTGTTTTCTCTTCCTCTCTGCGCCTGTATTTGATTCTGCTGCTTATTGACTTCCAGCCATTACATCTGCCCCTCTGTAGACCTTCTCCCTTCCTGCAGCTCCTGCTCGGGGGGCCATTTCCACAGCTGCTGCCGCATTCACCTGTCAGTTTGGACATACACTGCACCCTTCAGCCTGTCATTACTGGGGAAGATTCCAGAGGAGAGCCACAGGCTGTTGGGGCTCCCCTGCCAAGAAATGCTATCCCTAACTCCCCCAAGTGGGGCTTCGTCCCCAACAAAGACACCCTCTGGCCCGGAATGGCTGAGACTGCTGTGATAGCACAGATGACTGAGGGGAGAGGATGGAGGTCCATCGCTTGTGGGAGGGATATGGAGAGCTTGCCCACAGAACACACATGATGTCTCCTGTTGTTGCCTTGCAGGATGCTGAGAGGAGATCCCAGAAACATTGTAGAATACAGAGACCTGGATGCTCCAGAGGATGTGGACTTTTTTTAAGTGCTCCTGATAAAGCTATCCATTGACCAGACCATTTGTTATTTTGTTCTTTTGTTAAGTTAAAGAATTTTTCGTAAGGTTGTCGGTATTTTATCCAGGCAGACGGTATGTTGTAATGTAGAGTTTTCTGTTTTCCCCAGAAACAGTGATGTAATGTGTTCTTCTGAAGCGTCTGAAATAAAAGAAAGTATTGCAGGCTGGTTACAAAATGTTTGCTTCGTGTGTAAGGCTCTCGATATTGTACCGGAGGTGAAAACATCTCACTGGGATTTCTGCACCTTTCTGATGTTATAGACCAAACCAGACCCCTCATAATATATTAAGAAGGTAGCCTAGACTCTAACTTTTTCTTGTTGTAAAGGTAAATATCAGGTCCTGTGTTCCAGATGCAATGCAATTGGTCAAACTACTCAACGTTAAGCAAAACACAATTTATTCAAACAATAGTTAAAAATACAGCAAAATAAAGAGGAACTTGAAACAACAGCTCTATTTGAAAACTTAACAGAATAATAGATACAGTAACACTTACTAATTAACTTCCAATATAGTAACATCCCATAAAGACACCCATGGCAAAGGGTAAATTCAGAAAACAGATTGTTTCACATGTAACTCCAGCAGCCCAGGAAGAGAAGCCCCAGCTTTTTGGCTGTAATCGAGAGAGGGGAAAACATAACTTCTTCAAGACCCGAACAACAACTGCTGAAAGCTCAAAACTAAAACTCCTGGATCTGTGAGAGCTTGACCACACCTACTCAGGCTGCTTCTGTCGTTCCAATTCTAAAAAACAAACAAACCCCAAGCCTGAAAAGTTGTTAATCTTCTCAAAGGCTGCTCAGCAGCTGTCCCCCAATCTCTCTAAAAGAAACCAGGACAAAATAACCTCTTAAAGCTACAGCATTGTCACGCTGACATTCACCAACAGCTGGGAATTGTCCAGTTAGAAGTTAGCTGGACAGTGAGGGCCTTTGGCACTGAGCAGGAAGCTTGTTATCCCCATGTCCAGCACAGCCAGGGCTTGACTTACAGCTGGAACGCCTCATTGCTGATCTGTGTTATTCCAAGCTGGATAACAAGATGCAGGGGTCCATACATAGAGTCATACAGAAAGAGACCCTTTGGTCCAGCTCGTCCATCCTGACCAGATATCCAAAATAAACCTAGTCCCGTTTGCCAGCATTTGGTCCATCTCCCTCTTAAACCCTTCCTATTTATGTACCCATTCAGATGCCTTTTAAATGTTGTAATTGTACCAGCCTCCTCCACTTCCTCTGGCAGCTCGTTCCATACATGCACCACCCTCTCTGTGAAAAAGTTGCCCCTTAGGTCCCTTTTAAATCTTTCCCCTCTCACCTTAAACCTATACCCTCTAGTTTTGGGCTCCCCTACCCTGGGGAAAAGACCTTGGCTATTCACCCTATCTATGCCCCTCATGATTTTATAAACCTCTATAAGGTCACCCCTCAGCCTCCAACACTACAGAAACAATAGCCTGTGAGTGTATATGGAGCATAGTCGGGGGCTGAGAACACAGCCTTGCAAAGTATCAGTGTTGAGGATTATTGTGGAGGATGTTTTGCGTATCCTGTGTGTGATGGTGTGTATCTGTGCATGTGGGAGTGAGAGTGTACGACTGTGTGTGCATGCGTATGACTGCACGCACGACTGTGCTCGGGTTTGTGCGTGTTTGTGTGTGCATGTATGACCGTGCGCGTGTTTGTGTGTGTGTATGACTGCATGTGCGTGTTTGTGTGCATTTATGACTGCGCGTGCATTTGTGTGTGCGCGTTTTTGTGTGTGCGTGTTAATGTGTGTCAGTGCACGCACGTGAATGTTTGTGTATTTGTGCGCGTGCGTGTTTGTGTGTGCATGCACGTTTGTGTGTGTGACAGTGTCTGCGTGTTTGTGTGTGTTTGAGTGTGCACACGTTTGTGCATGTGTATGACTGCGCGCGCGTGTGTGTATGACTGCGGGAGCACACGCGTTTGTGTGTGTATGTGACTGCGTGCATGTGTGTGACTGCGCGCGTTTGTGCATGTGTATGACTGGGAGCACGCGTGTGTTTGTGCGTGTGCATGCGTTTGTGCATGTGTATGACTGGGAGCACACGTGGTTCATGTGCACATGTTTGTGACTGTGGGAGCACGCGTGCTCCGTGTGCACGTTTGTGTGACTGTGGGAGCACGCGTGCTCTGTGTGCACGTTTGTGTGCGTATGACTGTGGGTGTGTGTGCGTGCGTATGACTGTGTGCGTGTGCGTATGACTGTGTGCGCGCGTATGACTGCATGCGTTTGTGCATGTGTATGACTGGGAGGACGCGTGTCCGTGTGCACGTTTGTGTGACTGTGGGAGCAAGCGTGCTCTGTGTGCACGTTTGTGTGCGTATGACTGTGTGCGGGTGTGTGCACGCGTATGACTGCGCATGCATGACTGTGTGCGTGCGCATGTTTGTGTGTGCGTATGGCAGTGTATGCACGTGTGTGTACGACAGTGAGTGCATGATGGTGCGTGTGTGCATGCATGTTTGTTTATGGGTGTTTGTGTGTGTGTATGACTGCGCATGTTTGAGTGTGTGTATGTGTATGTGCGTGCATATGTGTGTTTGTGTATGTTTGCGTGCGTGCGTATATGTATGTGCGCATGCATGTTTGTGTGCAGGTGTTTGTGTATGTGTATGGCAGTGCGCGCACGTGTGTGTATGACAGTGCATGCATGATGGTGCACATGCATGCATGTGTATGAATGACAGTATGCATGTGTATGAATGACAGTGTGCATGTTTGTGTGTGTGACTGCGCGTGTATGCATTTGCGCATGTGTATGACTGCATGTTTGTGTGCGTATGACTGTGTGCATGTTTGTGTGTGTATGACTGCCAGCATATGTATGTGCACGTTTGTGTGCGCGTGTATGTGCGCATTTGTGTGTGCATCTATGACTGCACACGTGTGTACGCGTGTTTGTGTGTGTATGTACAACTGCGTACGTGACTGTGTTTGTGACTTGTGTGACTGCGTGTTTGTGTGTGTATGTGACAGTGCGTGAATGTTTGTATTTTTGTTTGTGTATTTTTGTGTGTGTATGACAGTGTCAGCGTGTTTGCATGTGTGTTTGTGTACGGGTGTTTGTGTGTGTATGACTGTGCGCACGTTTGTGTGTGTGTATGGCAGTGCGTGCATGTGTGTATGACAGTGTGCGCGTGTTTGAGTATCTGTATGTTTGTGTGCAGGTTTGTGTGTTTATGCATGTGTGTGTCTGTGTGTAATAGAAATCTGAAGAAGGGTCTAGACCCGAAACGTCAGCTTTCCTGCTCCTCTGATGCTGCCTGTTCATCCAGCTCTACACCTTGTTATCTCAGATTCTCCAGCATCGGCAATTCCTACTATCTCTCTCTTCCATCTGTTGACTCCATTTAAACTTCTCACTGTCTCGGAAAGGTGGCCAACATCAAAGACCCCTCCCACCCCAGTTATAATCCCTTCCAACCTCTTCCATCAGGCAGAAGATACAAAAGCTTAAACACACTTACCAACAGATTCAAGAACATCTTCTTCCCTGCTGTTATTAGACTTCTGAATGGACCTCTCAAATTTAAAATTTAATTTTGATCTCACTCTCTGTGCACCTTCTCTGCAGCCATAACATTGTATTCCCTGCTCTGTTCTATTAACTAATGCACTTTGTATGGTGTGATCTGCCTGTGTAGCATGCAAAACAAAACTTTTCGCTGTACCTACCTATGTGTGATAATAACAAATCAAATCAAATCAAATAAATTACCTCATTATGGCTTTGGCCTTAAACATGGACAAAAGCGCTGAGTTACAGAGTTGAGGGTGTCAAGGCCTTATTCAACCATCAATGAGCCCTGGCTAAACTGGAATCAGTGGGTATTAGGGGGCAAACTCTCCGGTGGTTGGAGTCAGACCTGACACATAGGAAGATGGTCGTGGTTGTGGGACATCGGTCATCTCAGCTCCAGGACATCTCTGCAGGAGTTCCTCAGGGTAGTGTCCTCGGCCCAACCATCTTCAGCTGCTTCATCAGGACCTTCCCTCCATCATAAGGTCAGAAGTGGGGATGTTCGCTGATGATCGCACAATGTTCAGCTCCATTCGTGATTCCTCAGATACTGAAGCAGTCCATGTCCAAATGGAACAAGATCTGGACAATATCTTATGTCAGTGGTGGGCAAATTATTGGAAAGGGCTCTGAGAGACAGGATTTATGATCACTTGGAAAGGCACAGTTTGATTCGTGATAGCATGGATTTGTGAGGAATAGATCATGCTTCACAAACCTTATTGAATTCTTTGAAGAGGTGACCAAACACGTGGATGAAGGTAGAGCAGTGGATGTGGTATACATGGATTTAAGTAAGGCGTTTGATAAGGTTCCCCATGGTAGGCTCATGCAGAAGGTAAGGAGGCATGGGATAGGGGGAAATGTGGCACATTGGATTCAGAATTGGGTGACCCTTAGAAGACAAAGAGTGGTAGTGGACGGAAAATATTCAACATGGTGCTCAGTTATGAGTGGTGTACCACAAGGATCTGTCCTGGGTCCTCTTCTATTTGTGATTTTTGTAAATGATTTGGATGAAGGAGTGGGAGGATGGATTAGCAAATTCGCGGACGATACGAAGGTGGGTCATGTTGTGGACAGTGCGGAGGGCTGTTCTAGGTTACAAAGGGACATTGATAGGATGCAGAGCTGCACTGAGAAGTGGCAGATGGAGTTTAACCCTGAAAAGTGTGAGGTGATTCATTTTGGAAGGACAAACTTGAAAGCAGAATACAGGGTTAACGGAAAGACTCTTGGCAGTGTGGAGGAGCAGAGGAATCTTGGGGTTCATGTTCACAGTTCCCCGAGAGCTGCCACCCAGGTGGATAGAGTTGTTAAGAAGGCGTACGGTGTGTCAGCTTTCATTAATAGATGGATTGAGTTCAAGAGCCGTGAAGTTATGCTCCAGCTGTACAAAAGCCTGGTTCAGCCACATCTGGAGTATTGTGTCCAGTTCTGGTCACCTCATTACAGGAAAGATGTGGAAGCGTTGGAAAAGGTGCAGAGGAGATTTACCAGGATGTTGCCTGGAATGGAGGGAAGGTCTTACGAGGAAAGATTGAGAGAGCTAGGGCTTTTCTCTTTAGAAAGACAAAGGATGAGGGGTGACTTGATAGAGGTATACAAA